ATACAATACCCCACAAAATAATAATAATAATAATAATAATAATAATAATTAAAAAAAAAAATCATTTAACTTACCGATCAAAAAACTTGGCAAATGAACAAATGAAGAGAAACAAAGGATTTTATGACCAATCCAATTAAATTAAATTATAATAATTTCACACCATTGTTCTTAAGGTTCATTATTTCTGCATTAATATATACTAAGACGGACATGACATGCTAATGCATATGATGCGTCTACATTTCTTTTTACTTTCCACAACTAAACAATCGCTTAAAAAATTCTTTTTCTTGTCTTTGACCTAGTTCTGCATGCTCACATGGTCGAATCGGAATCAAATTTGATAAGATAACGTTTGAATTGTACTCTTCATATGCATCGCTGTTTGGGATTGGACTTGTAAACAGGAAAGCAAAACGACGCATTTATTCAAAACGACGCATTTACTCACATTACATTACATATACAGTATCATGAATGTGAAAATTAAAATTAAAAAAAAATTTTTTCCTTCAGAATGATCCTTTATGGAAAGAACTGCGATTATATATAAAGATTGGTGATTGGTAGAAGAAAATCTTTCTTTCTTTGTTCAATCTGCAAAAAAAAAAAAAAAAAATGAGACGTCAGATAACACCAGAAATATAACGTGCCAAATTTTGGGGGTTAGTATGTTATTATTAACAGTTGTACATGTAAGATGATATCAAAGGGATGTTGAAACTATCCTAGTACGTATGTATATACGTACTCGCGTACTCCCTTTGTCCCTTTATTGTCGCGTGGTTTTGTAAATCTTTTTCGCTCCATTGTTCTTACCTACCAATATCTTTTTTACCGGCGTACAATGGCGTACAATGCAGGGGATAATAACACGTTCTATACTAACTTTGTTTTTTTTTGTAATCAGAAAAAGGATTATGAAGGAAGAAAAATCAGTTAAAGATCAACAACTATCAAACCATTTGTGCATTGCATTAAAAAATTACAAACAAGACCAATTACTTAATAACATACAGTTTCCGTGTGTGAACAATGAATAATTTCATCCTTTAATCACCAAATTTAGACATCTTTAACGATTGGTTTTGTTTCAAAAAATAAAACTTGTTATGCATTTTAATTTTTGTCATGCGAAGCATTAATGTGCTTTTAATTAAATTTATTAACTCTCCAAATGTGGATCTTTTAACTATATCAGACTATGTCAAAGACGGCTTTCATTCTAAAAATGTTTGATAGGTGACTCCGCTTGTGTTGTTTATTTGGATTGGTTTTGTTGATTGTTGACCAAATATTTGAAAGTATATCTGATATTTTTAAATATCAGATCTAACGAATCTTGTGTTTGTTGTACGCCTATCTGTTTACCTGGCATACTACTAATTCTAGTGTGGCAAAAAACCAATACTCAATCATTAAGATTTGTATTTGTTTGTTTATGTAACGGATTATATACTTATATTACGTATACAATTAATTGTTTTTATGAAAGCAACACATACTTAATGGTTGGTTCACCAGGTGGCTTAATCAGGGCTGATGATTCGCAGAAAATGGCATAATTTCACTTTTCTGTTAAAGTTCAGCCAACCACGGAATTCACTCTTGATCACCGCAGAATATCACAGAATCTAAAAAAAGCACTACATAATTCAGGCCGGAATCAGGAAATTCCGAGCGTGGCCAGGACTGTTACCACTGGTAAGTGAGCTATAGTGGCAATCATGAAATTTGTATCACGTGAATCTTTTTATAATAAAACATAGTAAATATTGAAATTTTCGTTTACATAAAAAATTTATTGTAAAAAATTTTTATTTATACTATTATAAAGTTCGTCGATTATAGCCTTTAAAAAATATTTTTTTTAGATTTTTTTAAAAATTTCCTTGGAAAATTGGTCTGATCGAGAAAATAAAGGTCAAAAATTCTATATTATACTTATAAAAATTTTAACTTTATTTTCTCGATCAGACCAATTTTCTAAGAAAATTTTTAAAAAATCTAAAAATATTTTTTAAAGGCTATAATCGACGAACTTTATAATAGTATAAATAAAAAAATTAAAAAAATTTTTATGTGAACGAAAACTTTATTTACTATGTTTTATTATAAAAAAATTCACGTGATATAAAATTCATCACTATAGATTACTTTCGGCGACCCAGCCAAAACATATTGGTAACTAAGGGTTTTTAAAATTCAAAAAATTCTTAATTTTCTTAAAAATTTTAATACTCTATAGAAAATTAAAAAATTTTATTAAATGTTTTCAAATAGTAAACAATTCATATTAATATTCTCTGAAAACAGATTGTTAGTATAGCACATATATAGTAATTTATTAAAGTTACCACGGTAAGTTACTGGTAAGTAGGGTTGTAAGCTGTTTTTAAAATGTAAATTACATTTTATTTAAGTTATCATGTAAGATAATAATAATAAAATTTCATCCTTTAATAACCTTAATTCTGACCGACATTAATACTAAAGTCGGCCTGCTTTACTATTATTATATTTTGTAACACATAAAAGGTCACGATGTCATAAAGTTTGCTGATATTAATTTCGACTAGCATTAAAAATGTTCACTGATAACCAGGTTGTTAGTGGTGATTTACTACCGTTACTTATTAATTTCGGTTAGCATTAATATTTTTTCTAGGCCTTTTTAATGCTACGTAGCAGAAATTAATAGTAATTTGGTAACTTACCATGGTAAATTACTACGTACGTACTAATAGCCTTGGTTACCAGTAAGGATGTTAAAATTACAGTAATTTACGTAATTTTGTGTAATTTTGCGTAAGATTCAGTAAATTGAAATGGCATTTTAAATTTGAAGCTCAGGTATAACATGCAAATTATTTTTGTGTAACAAAAATAATAAAATTTCGAAATAGCTCGAAATGCCATCTATGAATCTGCTTTTTGAGCTTTAACAAAAAAAATTTCTTACAAAATTTTGGTATATATTATATTTTACTCTAACCACTAACTCTAACTCTAATTCTAATCTAGTATTAATTTTTCCGCATATATAAAATTCTTGTTACACGGATCTACAAATTATAATTTAAAATATACAATAAAAAAATTAATAGAATTAATTTATTTGTAGCCATAGGCTATATGTAGCTATACTATTAAAATAGTTTTTTTATAGAAAAATTTTGCAACCATATTAATATTAAGGTTAGAGTTAAAACTAGGGTTAGGTTAGGGTTAGGGTTTGGAGTCAAAGTAAAGTAAAATTGTGAGAAAAGCATTTTTACTTAATTATATAACAGAATAGTAAAATTTAGAGTTATTGCAGAATTATTGAATATGGCTATATGTAGCCGTGGTTACAAATAAATAATTCCAAATTAATATATTATATAGT